TAAGAAGAAGAAGAAGAAGAAGAAGAAGAAGAAGAAGAAGAAGAAGAAGAAGAAGAAGAAGAAGAAGAAGAAGAAGAAGAAGAAGAAGAAATGATTGTATACAATTTACCACGCAATTGATACTTGTTTACATCTTATTTTGGAGGCAACACTGCTTCGACTCCACCTACCAGAGCCTACCCGAGCTGACTGGGACAGAACATTACAGCATGACGAGGATCAATCTCACGTTTTCTGAGTGCAGAGGTGAAAAGACGCAGGTAAAGAAAAGTAGCCTCACACGTAGTCTACCCAATGATTATGATAATATTTTGTGGTAGTGGTAGTCTCAATATAAACAGCACATTCATGCGAGAAATGCGAGAAGACTTTGTCAAAGACTAAGCCAATCAAGTTTAAAAAAAAAAAAAAAGCTGGAAAGATCAATTGTGGCGACAGAGTTGTGGTTCATGAGACGCGTGCTATGTATCCCATGGACAGCTAGAAAAACAAATGAAGAAGTGTTGGTTGAAGCAAATTGCAGCTGACAGCTTATGACGAATATAAGAAAGCGACAGGCAAATTTCTTCGGACACACAATACGGAAAGAAGTATTGAAGAATATTGTAACAACAGGCAAGTTTGATGGAAAGAGAGGCAGAGGCAGACAGAGGGAAAAGATACTGGACAAGATGACAACATGGCTAGGAGCAGCAAGAACAACAGACACTATTGCTCCAACGCAAGACAGAGTGAAGTGGAGGTCCATGATCGCCCATGTCAGTCGGCAAGGCACCGGATGATGATGGATGTCCATGTACGAAACTGCCCCTTTCCGTTCCCATTTCTACCGCATCGCGAGCAGTTGTAGAATCTCTAGAAATATACGACATGTAACTACTTTTGAAGTAATCACAAAAGCGGCGAAAACTGGGTTTGAGACAGGTGAGGGCATTAACGTCCCATGATCGGCGAGCACTCTAGCAGTCCAATGGCGTTGCGAACGCCTTGAAGAAAATAATTAGATATTCTGAGCCTTTTGTTTTTGAAAAGGCAGCGTTCCAGAATTAGCAGCACAGATCGAAAAGTGCGTACGGGTCTTTGTTCCAGGGTCTTACGACTTTATTGATTCTCGGTATTCTAGCAGCAGTAGCAGCCTTGTTCGTTTGTCTCTTCATGACATCTTTGCACTCCCACACATCTGCTCATTAAAAAACGAAGAAGAAGAAGAAGAAGAAGAAGAAGAAGAAGAAGAAGAAGAAGAAGAAGAAGAAGAAGAAGAAGAAGAAGAAA